TTGAATATTTTGCTTTCATATATCACAATAACTGCTTACTGCCATAACCATGGCCAGGCCTACTGACTGGACCCTAAATATAATGGGAAACTTTGACAAGTATCAATCATCAAATATCATAAGAAAATGAGTCTTTTCTCATCTGATGACAGACTAAGGCCCAATCCCATCCCATTTTTACCCCTAGCCCTTGTTTTTGAGTATCGCCTGAGTTACAGGGGTAGTGGTTGAAATCTTCCCTCTGAAATGGGACCCTCAAATAAAAAGAGCATCACTTCATTAACAGCTACCAGCGCTGCTCTGTAGGCGACCCTGCCAGTCTGCAGTGACAGCAGAGGAGGGTAAAGTTCAGCTCCTCACTGCTGGGCTTTAGTTACATTTAGGGCATCATATGACTTCAAAGGGGGGGGGGGTCAATTATTCAGCGATATGAAGCTGAAGTCAGATATTCACCAGCTTCTTGTTCGAATTTTTCCGTTCCACCTTAAATGGTGCAGCAGTTACATTCTGGTGGCTCTCTGCACCATTTAAGGTGGAACGGGAAATTTAGCTAGCTAGCTCATGATACATCAGCATATTACTATAATACATAATACCATAATACATTGAAACAACATTAGATTAAGATAAAACAATGATTATTGTAATTTTTTAACAGAGAAAATTCTCACATTTCTGGGTTTCTTTGGTCGCCGAATAACTTCAGTCATGTAGAAATGAAGACATAAAACAATGAGTGTTTACATGCACTCAATAATCCGATCATAATTGGATTTCTGCAGTGATTTTTAAAATAGTCTTGTAAAGAGCATACTCCGATCTAGAAATCTGATTAAGAAATTAAGAAAAGGCTGGATTTTAGCTCGGTAATCAGATTTCTTAGTGCTTGTAAACTTTTACTCTGATTTCTTTCCGATTTCTCAGTCTGCACATGTGTGAAAACAGACGACCACACTGGGAATAAGCGAGACGCAGCAAAACCCTTTTGGAGCGACGCTAAAACCAAATTCATTCTTGACGAAATGAAGGATTTAAATATTCTTCATCTTCTAGATGATGTATGTTCATATTTTCAGGTAAAGTGGCGCAATGTTTTTAAAAAACAGCATGTTGATGTCACGTCTTCTTCTGTGAGTTTATTGGTTGAAAAGCAGAAATCTGATTACTGTCTGACTCATGCAGACCAAGAGTTTCCCCATTTTCTGATTACTCAAGAGCGTGTAAATATGTGGATTGGATTACTGCAGTTATTGGATTATTAAGTGCATGTAAACAAACTCAGTGTGTTCATTTGCCACCTTTTTGCTGAGCCAGCAGTGCTAAGATAAAACTTGGATAGGTTTATCTATGAATTGTTCAGTGTTCAGTAAAAAATTCAGATTTACTTTAGTTGTTGAAAATGTTTCTTATTAGAAAGTGAAAGGGCATCCTAGAATAATAAAAGGGACATCTGATAACCCTAAAAAATAGGTTTATTTAAACATCTAAGATGCTTAAAATGATATTTACCATGATGGAAACAGTCCAAAATTTTAATTATACTATAACATAAATGTTCAGCCATACTGCTCACTAGTTAGATGCCAGAGCCATCCATAGCCGGGAGTTCCAGGCAACATAACACAGGCATGTTAGCTTATTTAACAGAATTAGCAGTTAGCATTGTCTCAAACTAGCATTGTCGAGCTGTTCAATGATGTGTCGGCGGCAAACTAAACAGATTTGGTGACTGACTTCATCACTGCGTCCCAATTGCGCACTTAATACTAATACTAACTAGTGTTGGAGTATGTAGTATGTAGTATAGTCACAAGTATCAAAGTTGAGTATACTCAAAAATCCACAATGCATACTTAGGACCAGTTGAATTTTGAGTGTAGTAATGATGGACACTATTGTCCCACAGTCCATCGGTAAACGGAAAGGGAGGAGCTTCTCGCGTCTGGAAAACTCTGAAAAAGTGGCGGCACGGCGACGCGAGAGCAGCTGCGGTGGTAGGGTCACCAGAAAGGGTGTACAACTTTGGGTTCATCCCAAATTTGTAAAATATTCTGTAAAAAAACAAATGTGTCACACTTACTAATGTTTCTCATTTGTTAGCGTTTCAGTAATAAATTTGTTTGTGAACGCACGTTAACTAGCCTTCAGAGCCTATCTTGCTATGATGTGCGTTGTCATAGCAACGGTTCGTCACTTCCTGTTCGTAAGAGCGGTGTAGTATGTTAATATTGTGTGTACTAACCCGTCGAGCTCATACTATTAAGGTTAGTACGCAGTATATACTGTATAGTATTAGTGTGTAGGACACAATTGGGACGCAGCCCGTGTGTCTTGGAGGGAGTGTGTGCTGGCCTTCACCCTCTCAGCCTAGTAGCCCTGTGGGATGGGGGAAATTTAGCTAGCAGGTGGAACTGGCAATGACTAACTTGGGGGTGGGGGTGGATTAGGCAAAAAATAATACTAATAATAATAATTCACCACTCAGTAAATATGTTAAACTACTTTAACTACATCAAACTACTGTTTTTGCATCAACAGAAAAACTGACTGAGGCAGCAGGACGAAGTGGGGCTGCACACAACAGCATTTTTCCTTGTTTGGTCACCATAAACATCCCTGCCACAGCCTTTGCTAATCTCCCTATAATACTCATATTTTGTGACATCTTTGGAATCCATATAATCTATGTGAACATGTACTTTAAAACATCTTCCAGAAGATTTCGCTCTGCAGCTGTCACAGTGTCTATATTCACCACAGTCCTGCCTACTATTTATGAGACGCTGTTTATAAGTCCCTTCAAACGTAAGCAAGGTTGCTATTTTCTGTATATAAATCTGCATTATTCTGATGGCACCTGGGGCAACTAGACGTGTGGGAGGGGGGGAGAAGTCCAAGCTGCAGCAGTTCTCCAGCGTTTGAAATCCCATCACAGCGTCTGGGCCTGCTGCCTCAGCGCCTTGGGTGGAATTTGGAGGTAGGACGACGATTTCAATGGGAGCTTATTCAGCTGTAACAATCCGATGAGGAATTCCTTCTCAGGTGGTGGCGGGACTTTGCGGTCTGCCTGCGAGCGCAGGGGATTTTCCAACCTCTATTTATTTTCTTTAAGCTTCACTGCCTCATACAAAAAATGACTTTTCAAGGTGGGGTTGCGTTCATTTTTGCACGCGGGAAGATAGAATTTACATCCTCGTCTACGTATGAATACATTTTTCAAGACATTAGAGCATATTTTTATTGAACATAGATGCCATAAGTAATCAGATCTATATAATCTGAGAAATTATGATATTATATTCATATTGAACAACAGCATTACGTGTTTATGAGAGGGGCTGTTCTCTCGTACTATTTGGGTCATTCTCACGAAACAGCCTCAAACTATGTCCATTAATATTTCAGTGTCATAGTCATCATGCATATAAACAGTATGCCTATATTTTTCTATTTTAAGGGGTTTTTTTTGGCATTTTCTCATTATGACAAGGTGTCCACATACCTGTTTTAACTGTTGAACTGTTGAAAACATAAATGTTTTCCTTGTAAACCCTAAAGGAGTGAACCAAAACATCAAAATTTTAATTTGCAGCTAAGTAAAAAGAAAAATGTTGCATTGCGGTAATGACATACACCGATCAGGCATAACATTGTGACCACCTCCTTGTTTCTACGCTCATTGTCCATTTTATCAGCTCCACTTACTATATAGGTGCACTTTGTAGTTCTACAGTTACAGACTGTAGTCCATCTGTTTCTCTGATACTTCGTTAGCCCCCTTTTACCCTGTTCTTCAGTGGTCAGGACCCCCATGGACCCTCACAGAGCAGGTACTATTTGGGTGGTGGATCATTCTCAGCACTGCAGTAACACTGACGTGGTGGTGGTGTGTTAGTGTGTGTTGTGCTGGTCTGAGTGGATCAGACACAGCAGTGCTGCTGGAGTATATGGATCATCCCACCAAACTGGTTCAAAGTTCAAAACAAATTTCAGTTTTTTAATTGGCTCGCACAAAATCCTTTTGCTTTAAGTGACCCTATACCTTAATTATGTTTATTTTATTTAAATAAATTAGGAACATTGCATTTTGCCACTACCAAAACAATCATAACACTACTAACCAGAACTTTAACAAACGTTTCGGCAGTGATTGTTTTGGTTGTGAGAATTTAGCTAATTTTGTGCAGAACTCAAAAACGCTATCCAGTACATGACCAGCAAACATGGCTTTGATTAGCTGTACACAGATAAAATCATCATATTTTTCATTAAATCACAAAAGAAATTCTTAATTGCCAAAAATGTGTGTTTCACTAGTGACAGTTCTTAATGTTCCACACTGATTTTCAGACTTTGGGACACATTTACTTCAAAACAGAGGGATCTAACTGCGCACCATGTGGCCATGAGGGAAATGCAGCCTCACTTCCTGCTCTAAAATGAAGGGGAGTGGCTAAAATAAGGCCCCGCCTCCTGACATGAAAACGGGACGGGATTGTTTTTTAATCTAAATATGAAACTCAGGATGAATCTAAATCTTCTACTCAGTATCTCAATGAATGCATTGGGTTTAAATAGATCAAAACATAATCCATATAAATATCTAAGATCTGAATACTGTTTAGTTTTTTTACTGTGGGACTGCAGTTTGACCTAATTCAACAGAATGGTCCACATACAAAAAAGAGAGAGAACATTAATTTCTAGTCATTTTAATTTTTTAATGTTCCAGTATTAGTCATGTTTCATAAGATTAACCCATTTGACTAATGATCTTAGGCAGATTAGATAACATTAAAAACAGCACTATATATATATATGACTTCAGCAAATATTTGAACTACTTCATCTCTTGCTAGCAAAAGAAGTTTCATGCGAGGAAGCCGCTGGAGAACAAAAGAAAGTATCAATTCTATGGATAATACTGCATGAAGAAAAGAGATGAGCTACCAGAAATGAGCATATTGTATAGTAATATGCCTCTCCGGGAGGTCTGAAAATAACCGGCTTGTGTGGGAGGGAAATTATGGCGATTATCTGCAGCGAGGGTTCCCCTATCATTGTCTTGTCAAAGTCATTGTGCTCAGAGTTATGTAAGGCATTACCATTCAATTACAGTAAATCTCATGCTATTATACTTTGCTCGCTTCCTCACCAACTTTTTGAGGACATTTATGTCATGATATCACCCAAAGCCGAGTCCTTCTAGGCCCGACAGGGAAGGTCCTCAGACTTCAGCTGGTGGACAGGTTTGTCACGGTGTTCCTCTGGGCTTACGCACCGGAGCCTTTGCAGAGGAGTGTGATTAGCCTGGGTCTGGGCTATGTAGAACACCAGCGAGTTGATGTTGCAGTCGCATTTCCACGGGTTGTCGTGCAGATATACGGCTTTCAGTCCTGTAAAAGGTTAACAGAAGCTTGCAGTTACGAAACTATCCCTGAGTTTCGTCTGAAAGAATAGACGCTGCATGCCTGCCTGGAGACTTTCCACCACAGCCTCATTTGGTTGCTTGTTTCATCTCGTTCCTCCCTATAGGACTTTTCTCCGAGTTGTGAAAACTCTCCAAAACTTCAGAACTTGCCAAAGGCCTTATCCTGTTTCATCTCTGGTACTGGAACATTATACAAAATGCAAACCATTGCTGTTGGTAGGCCGAGTCCTCTTATTCAGGCAACCGTGTGGAAAATAACCGTGATAGACAGTTAAACTAGGTCGGGGGGCTTTAGGGGGATTCTTTTCCCTTTGTTTTCCCTTTTATTTATTTATTTATTCATTTACTTATTTTCCACAAAGATTGTTCTACATGCATAGCAATAATAGTAAACAATATTAACAGAAACAACAAAATAATAGACTAATAAAAATAAGTAACATCTGGTAATCTTGAGACCGGTCCTTGCACTGATGCCAGGGCCGGATTTAGCCTTTTGGGGGTTCCTATGCAGGATTTTTGGAGGGTTCTCCATCTTGCTGGCTGATGTGCTGTAAAGGCTAACTAATAACAATGACCACCATAAGCTGCCCAAACGATATTCATTTATAACTGGCTGATTTGTGAATTGCTGATGATTGGAAGCTTGTTTGTGGCTCTAATAGGTTACAGTTTAAATTACAGATTTACCTTCTCAGCATTCTCAGTCAACTGTCTCATCACAGTATTTCTTGCTTACCTGGTTAACTTTAAGCTTAGTTGGATCGAACCTTGGTGGCAGTGGCAGCAGCGTTGCCTTTTTATTGTTTTAAATGCTTTACTTTCTACATATTTAGGTAGCAAGATTTATTTTTCCTTCTTTGACGAATGTGTGAACCTGGATTAATCACAGCCAGAGTATCTATACCTCAATTAACAGAGAAAATTTTACCTACCATTGTAAAACAAGTTAACTATCTATGTTTGTTGGGTTTTGTGAAACTAAAACTGCCAGAAAGACTTGCTGAACCTGCTTTGTTAGACATTTCCCAGATTGTCTACTTCTTGTTGTCTAACTTTAAGCCAAAACAAATGGCATAACATGAACATCACAAAAAACAAAACATCTTTATCTTTACGCTTTTTCACTTTATCTTCTCTTTTTCTTTTCCGTTTTGCAGCTCTAGATTCATACTTTCTTTTTTGTGGTATCATTAACCAGTTTGTCCTCACTCGAGCATCTTAGACAACATAATGGAGAGGTAATAACCCAGAAATTGTTAGGAGGCCCCCTTGAGGCAGTGGGACCCCAAGCAGCTGCTTATCTCGCTTATTAGGTAGAGCCAGCACTGACTAAAGCAGATGTGGGTGTGTGGGAGTGTGTGAGTTGAAGCTTAATCTTTGTTAAATAAAATAACATGATAAAATCGCAGTAAAAGCTGTGGATTAAGTATATTGTCATCTTCAAATTGGCCATGAAAATATAAGAAAATAAAGAATTATCAGTGTAACCATCTGAGGCCACTTAGCCCAGTTCCTTTTTCTCTGAAGCCATTTTGCTTGAGGCCGTTTGAAATGTGCCATTACGCCTGATGTACGAGAGCTGAGATACAATTTTACTCATGTTTTTTTTTCAGTGACCTGAATCTGCTTTATGGCTTTTTGCAGGCTTGATATCTGACTGCAGGACCGAGTGCATTCAACCAGTGCAGCTCAACAGCCATGAAGTGTAATCTCATCTATGTTAGTTACAATAAATGTGGGATTAACGTTGGATATCAATTCACCCATCATATCTAAACGTTCAGTTTTGTTCACATGTGTAACTGTTTAATGTAACTCTTACCCTGCATGTTGGCCAACATATTGCCGTCGATAGTGTGAAGCCGATTCCCGCTCAAGGCCACCTGGCTAAGCTTGGGTGTGTGACGGAATACGTCGGCTGGCAGCCTCTCAATCTCGTTGTTTCTCACGTAGAACTCCTGTAGGTTGAACAGCCCCTCCAACATCGATGACGTCAGCGTGGACAGACGGTTATTATCCAGCACCAGCATCTCCAGGTTGCTCAGAGGCATGAAGGTCCCAGCTTGGAGGCTCTTCAGGCCGTTGTTGTCCATGTTCAGAAAAAGCAACTCCTCAAGCCCGACAAAGGCTTTCGGGGAGATCCTTTCGATGTGGTTCAAGGCGAGGTCCAGCACCTTGAGAGCGATCAGGGGTTTGAAGGCATTGGGGGGAAGCATGGTGAGGGAGTTCATGGGCAGGTCTAGATCTGAGAGGTTCCTCATGCCGGTGAACATATCAGGTTTGACAGTCGAGATCTGATTTTGGCCCAGCATGAGGAAGCGGAGGTTGAGGAGGTCTTTGAAGCCCTTCGGGGGGAGGGTGGTTAACTGGTTTCCATATAGGTTCAGAAGCATCAATCTGCTGGCACCAGAAAAAGCCTGGGGGTTGATTGATTTGATCGAATTGCGCTCCAAGTTTACACTTTCAATTTTGGGGAGAGATGTTAGGATGTCAGCTGGGAGCTCTTGGAGTAAATTCTCACCTTACAAATAAAGAAAAGAAGAGATTTTTTTTTTTTGCCCTATCATTGCATTACTGTGTCTAACCCAATAAGACCAGCTGTCCTGCCAGCAGGATGAAACTCTACAATGCCTTCAAAGCACTGCTGGTTCTTTGACTGAGAGAGATGTAGTTTTTTAGTGAAACCTGAGATATCATGCTAAACAGGAAGACCCAGCTGTCAACATGAACCTAATACATTTCCTTCCAACATAAAAGTCCATTTCTTTTATTCAGTATATACACTCACTGGTCACTCACTAACCTATCTTGTATCTACACGTGTCCATTTTATCAGGTCTACTTACCATACAGGTCCATTTTGTAGCCAATCTGTTTCTCTACATAATATTGTTAGCCCCCTTTTCCCTATTATGCTCAGGACCCCCACAGGACCACCACAGAGCAGGTATTGTTTGGGTGTTGGATCATTTTCAGCACTGAAATGACACTGACATAGTGTGTGTCCTGCACAGAATGGATGACACAGCAGTGTTGCTGGAGTTTTTAATCACTGTATACACTTATGATGTGTCATTCGTGAATAACGCAGTCACTGCTGGACTGAGAACTGTCCACCAACCAAAAATATCCAGCCAACAGCGTCCTGTGGCCAGAAACTGACCACTGATGAAAGACTAGAGGATGACCAACACAAACTGTGCAGCAGCAGATGAGCTATCGTCTCTGACTTTAGGTGGACCAACAAGGTAGGAGTGTCTATTAGAGTGGACGGAAAGTGGACACTAGTGTTGGGCATTCCGACTCTATCAGTAACTCATATCAGTTGGCACAGCTGAAAACTTCAGTTCCAAAAATGGCACAACAGTTTTCCAAACTCAGCCAAAGTTATGGTGCTGTTATATTATGACCTATGTCAAACATTTAATAGCATAATGATTATAATAAACCTAATAAAGAGGCCATCTATGAAATCTCAGCATGCATTTGTGACAAAAACTCTCAAAGTCAGTAATGTGATCATCAGATATTCAAGCTTGAGACATTTAATTTATTCCAGAGTTGTTTATTCCCTCTGGATGTCTGCATTACCTCTTCTGCAATTTACCTTAATTGCATTTACCGCACAGCTAATATTACATGCTTAGTGAAGGTGATGTTTGGTATGATATCATCATACCAAGATAGCAGCACTATCCGCTAATGCTGCTTAGAATATACACAGGTAAGAGTCAAACAACTATCTCACCATTCTTGCTAGACTTAGCTATAGATCTGAAGTCAGATATGGATAAGAAGTTTATCTGGATGTATTTAAAGCAAGCGTATAATGGGATATAGTGATGTGACCTCATTAGTACCTTACTCATGTAGGCAGTGTTTAAAAGCTCCAGCAGCACTGCTGTGTCTGATCCACTCAGACCAGCGCAACACACACTAACACACCACCACCACGTCAGTGTTACTGCAGTGCTGAGAATGACCCACCACCCAAATGGGCAGTCATGGGCTGGAGGTCAGGGAACCAGTCTTGTGACCGGAAGGTCACCAGTTTGATCGACAATACGTGACTGAAGTGCCCTTGTGTTAATCATCCTAACCCCCATCTGCTCCCTGGGCGCTGTGGATAGGGCTGCCCACTGCTCTGGGCAAGTGTGCTCACTGCCCCCTTGTGTGTGTGTGTTCACTAGTGTGTATGTGGTGTTTCACTACACAGATGGGTCAAAATGCGCAAGTGAAATTTCTCCATTGTGGGACTAATAAGGTTCACTTATAGTACCTGCTCTGTGGGGGTCCTGTGGGGGTCCTGACCATTGAAGAATAGGGTACCAAAGTATTCAGAGAAACTGATGGACTACAGTCTGTAACTGTAGAACTACAAAGTGCTCCTATATGGTCAGTGGAGCTGATAAAATGGACAATAAGTGTTACAAGGTAGGTGTACCTAATAAATTTGGTGTGTAAATGTAAATCAGTTCGTGTCACACAGAGTGACAATTTAGACAGGTGTCAGAATCTTTAAGTTCAGTGTGTGTGTGTGTGTGTGTGTGTGTGTGTGTGTGTGTGTGTGTGTGTGTGTGTTCTTGTCTGTCTATTATAGTGAATGGAGTGTGCATTAAGTGACATCTCATAAGCTGAGGTTGGGCTGAATCTTGGGACATACAGTGAGGTCCATAAATATTTGGACATTGACAAGATTATTGCTATTTTAGCTGTCTACCACAGCATACAGGAGTTGACATTAAATTATATATCTGAGCTCAAAATGCAGAATTTCAGCTTTAATTTGAAAGTATTTACAACCAAACCAGGTGAATGGACCATTTTCATACCTTACCTACCATGTGTGAAACACAAGGCCAGATCTGGCCCGCGACACAATCCTATCCAGCCCGCAAAAATATTTTAATTTTCTATTAATATTAACCCGTTTCACAACACACTGCACTACAGTCCCCAGCATGCACTGCAACGTAATGTGAGCTCTGACTCTCCTACCCCAACAACAGTCTATGGTACACCTTAGTACACAATTCTACACAAGCAAATAGGTAGGTTTAAAAGACTGAGCTCCTGGGAACATTTAAATGTTTAATATTTCAAGTATTCATGTAATATTTCAAGGTTTACTACAAGTGTCTGTATTTTACTGTTTAAGTTTTTGCGCTGTTGAACAAACAGTGGTCAGTTCGGGTTATAGCACAACATTAATTAAGATTTTCTCTGGCCCACAGATTCGTTAAGATTTTTTAATATGGCCCCTTTATTGGTTGAGTTTGACACCCCTGCCTTACCTCATCAAATTTAGGGGCTCAAAAGTAACTGGACAAACTAAAAATCATAAATTAAATTGTCATTTCTAATACTTGTTTGCAGGTCCTTGACAGTCAATGACTGCCTGAACTCTGGAGCCCACAGACGTCACCACAAGCTGGGTTTCTTCCCTGGTGATGCTCAGCCAGGCCTTTACTGCCGCCGTCCTGAGGTCGTGCTTGTTCTTGCGGTGCTGTACTGTCAGTTTTGCCGTCTGTAAGTGGAATGCATGCTCGATTGGATTGAGGTTAGGTGATTGACTTGGTCATTGCAAAACATTCCACATCTTAGCTGTGATTGTCCATCTGCGCTGCGAAGCGCCGTCCAATGAGTGACAATGGATACCCTCAGTATTTACTCTGGTGAAGTCTTGTCTTGATTGTTGACTTTGACACAGACATGTCCACTTCATGGAGGGTGTTCTTGATCTGGCTAACTGCTCTGAAGGAGTTTTCATTCACACACACACACACACACACATCATCTAAACTGCTTATCCTTCTGGGTCGCGGGGGGAGCTGGAGCCTATCACAGCTGTCATTGAGCGGAGGGCAGGATACACCCTGGACAGGTCGCCAGTCCATCACAGGGCAGGCAGACAGACATACACATTCATACACACACACACTCACACCTAGGGGCAATTTAGCATGTCCAGTTGGCCTGACTGCATGTTTTTGGACTGTGGTACGAAACCCACACAGACACGGGGAGAACATGCAAACTCCACACAGCGAGGACCCTGGTCACCCAGCCGGGAATGAGTTTTCATTCACCAGGGACAGAATTCTTCAGTTGTTTTCTGTCGTCTTACAGCCCTTTTAGTGTTTCTAAACTTTGAAGAATGTACCAAATACACCTCACACCTCATGTTTTTGCCATCTCTCGGATGTGTGTTTGATTTTTCAGCCTAATGGTGACTTGCTGGCAGTGCCAGCTCTTTGGACTTCACACTGAGAGTTAACAGCAACAGATTCCCAATTTAAATGTCCCCTTGAAATCAACTCTAGACCATTGATCTGTTTACCTGTAAGTGAAATAATGATAGAATGATTCACACCTGGCCATGGAATAGCAGCCAACTGCCCAATTACTTGTGAGCCTCTAAAAATGGGGGCCTGTGAATGAAAATGATCATAATTCCTACACTTTCCTACACCCTCAAATTAAAGCTGAAATTTGGCACTTTGAGTTTATATTGATTATTTACTTTTGACTCCAATATGCTGTTTGACATCTAAAATAACAGTAACTTTGTCAACATGCAAATATTTATGGGTCTGGCTGTATAATGACAAGAAGATCATGTGAACCGCAAAGGTATAAAACTCAGAAAGGCCTTAACCTCTTATTCCCCAGGGTGTATTTTGGTTTGTCCATCTGAATTTAAATGACCAAATTGTAAGCCAAATTATTCAGTAACTGCATGAAATAAATGTACATTTTTATTTTATTTATTTATTTTTTGTAAAAGTTCCCTAAAATTAACAGAACATGTGTTTTATGATCACACATATTACATATGCTTACAATTTACTGCTGAAAGCCAAAAATCTTAGACGCTCTTTGTATTATTTTATAAAAATAATTTTTACAGAGCAGATCACTGAAGAGACGCCATCTGTTTATAGTTTATAGCCCAGATTTGTGGAAAAATGGGTCGACTTTCAGTAGAAAAAAACATTGTGAGTTCAGCTTCTTTTATTATAAGGGTTTAAAATTACATCACCCATCTATCTGACTGGAAAGAAGACAGTTACAGCTCTCATACGACCCCCACCTTCTGAATGTAGCTTATGAAATATGAAAGCCAAAATCAGAAGAACAAGCTCACTAAAAAGGAATCGGCTCGTGAGACTAACAGAGTCTATATGAAGAGATTTTGAGTGGCACATTGCAGACAGAGATGACCTGTCAGAGTTTGCTTTCAAAAAGGGTCAGAGGTCAAAATTTTTGACATTTAACTTTTTCAGTGAGCTCATATACCCTGCCTGTATTTTTATCATAGGGGACCATTTTCACTTCTGACATTTTCAAATCCTATCTGCTCATACTTCAAATCTCTCCGAGCGATCAATCATCTTTGCTCACCCATTTTTATGATCCAAGTGTCCGGCGGGAACGCTGACGGAAATTGCTGAAGTCTTCGTTTATAACAGTTGACTTCGGTTCTCTCCGTGCCGGCTCTCTGGCTGCATCTGCAAGCTTCTGGGCAGTTTTCCACGGCCTCCGCCACGCATAGCCACAGTACTGCAAGCCCTCCAAAAAGCTTCATAGCCCTGAAAATATGGAGAGAATCCTTAGCCCTGAGCCAGAGATTCAATTAGAAAACTAAGTTAGTGATGAAAGACAATTATAATCCCATCGAGGAACGTATTAAGGGTATTAGGAATAAGCTTCCATAAATATTCCATCAAAACATAAATGCTCCGAGCATTCTCTTCTCTTTTTTTTCGGTTCGCTGTTAAATGTCCTTGCAAACTTACCTTCAAGAGCTTTTAATAGGATCTAATCTTAAATGTGCTCGTATTTCTTCCCCAGCCGAGTCCCTTCTGCCGCCTCTACTGATGTCTTGAGACCGTCTACAGTAGGAGGTGGGGTGAATTAGCCAATCTGTCTGCCCAGCAGCAAAGTGTAACACCGCAGTTGTAGCCCTCTGACAGCACATCTGTAAACTCGCAACGTCTGGAGAAAAATGACATTCGCCGATTATGGCACACTTCCACCTTTAGATATGCAGCCAACTGGCCTCCAGCTTCCCAAGAGGAAGAGAAAAGTGACACCCTGGTGCGCAGTGTGTGCACATTCATGTCTGCCAATCGACATCAACACATTTCTGGACCCTGTGAAAAGACAGTCCCTGTGGGCCTCCTTCTCTTCTCTGGAAAATGCTCAAGAATAACTATATTACCTTTCAAAAGTTTGGACTTATTTGAAATTTTAATGATTTTATTTACATTGATGTTAAATTTTGTGTTCAATTATAATTTATACAGTGTAGATTGAAGTATAAACATATTTTCAGATGTTTAGATGTTTGCTGCCTTGAGATTTAATGAGTATTTTTGAAATACAAGACATTCTGGATATACTTGATGTTGTACAGTTTTCTCAGTTATTCTAGAATCATTTACATTCTTGGCGTAAACCACCCCCCCCCATATCAAATTACATGTTTAGGTAAAAATATTGTAACACATCCTCTACACAGAACATATGTAATTATGGCATTTTTCATTCTTTCATTAATCTTCTAAGCCGCTTATCCTCCTGGGTTGCATGGGGTGCTGCAGCCTATCCCAGTACTCATTAGGCGGAAGGCAGGAAACACCCTGGACAGGCCGCCAGTCCATCGCAGGGCAGACAGACAGACATATTCAAGACATATTCACACACACAAACACTATATAGCTTCTATATAGCATATAGCATCTCCCATCAGCCTCAGTGCATGTCTTGGACTGTGGGAGGAGACCCACGTAGACACGGAGAGAACATGCAAACTCCACACAGAAAGGATCCTGGTCGCCCAGCCGGGGAACGGAACCCAGGCCCTTCTTACAGTGAGCCAACAGCGCAACCTGGTGTGGCACTGTGCCACCCTAGCATTTTTCAAAATTGACTAATTTCACTGAACGATTTCTAATTCGTTACATATTGGAAAAAAAAATAAAATGTAAAATGTGCCATAATTGCAGAGGCAACATTTTATTTTTGTCCAATCTGTAATATGCTCAGCCCATCTTTACTCCTAAAAGACAAGGCCTTTCCTGGATGCTGCTTTACAATCACTTGATTACAATCACTTATTTCAAATCACATCATCATTTAATTATTATAACTTACTACTAGCCCTAAATTACCCTGAGCCTGAGATCTTTTTTGGATTTGTTGCAGGCCCCAATGGCAGGAATGGGTGTATATTTACAAATGAAATGAAGCTGATCAGACAAAACATGAAATCTCTTGTGTTCATACTGTCTGCAATGAAATACAAGTCAAAGTGAATTTTAAATTTTGCATTTTCTGTACCATCGCAACTTTTTCTGTTTTGGGGTTGATGGAAAAGTTTGAGTAAATACTCCCTTAATTAATAATCAAAAGGATTACGCATTGTAATTAATAATCAAATAGGTTAGGCATTGGCTAAAAGAGAACATTAATTTCTTTTACAAAGGGGTGATATAGGAAAAGCAACCAGCCATAGACTGAGCACATGAAACATTTTAGCTTTAGTGAAACACATTAAATTATATAAGGGTCATTCTACAGAAACGCGTTTACAGATATATTACACTTGAAAAACGTGTTAGGGTTACAATATATTTATATTTTAAAATGAAAGTAAGATATTTCAACAATTACACCTTCTTGACCCGTCAATTCAGCAATATCGTTTTTTAAATCAATCATATAGAATTCCAAGCACCACAGAAGAGCTCATCCCCACAGTCATGTGTGAAGGCTGAGGCCATATTTTGAAGAAAAAAACGTTTTTTCTGCAATTTTAACTATAATAATCTATACATGACTATGAAATATATAAACTAAATGACAAAGTAAACAAAAGCCAAATAAATATTATAAAATATATAATGAAAGTTGTCCCCAGGAGTCGTGTCACTGGTGTTACTGCATAACAAAAAGTCTCTTATTTTGAAATTAAAGTCACACTGATGACATCACTTGACTTCCTTTTACCTGTTTTCTGAAGATCTATGAAGAAAAGCTCATGGTGAGTCCACTGTGTCTTTCAGTTATCAGAGATTTTCTCATTTAGCTCATGATTTCATATGAAGCTTTTAGCTGAAGTCACTGGTGTGACCGACTTTATTCTTATGTAATTATGAAAAAATGGAATACAAATGGATTAAATTCCATATTTTAGTGGATATTAATGATTGACAACATGTGGTTTTGATGCTCTGTAGCAGTTATTTCAGTAAAATGCATTTTTCATAAAAAATGTCTCTGGTGTTCCCTTTCTTATGTGTAACACCAATGACGATCAGTAACACCAGTGACTCCTATGGACAGATAGAAAAGTGGACGTTTCTGTAGAGTGACCCATAAAGATGACCTTGCAAGATAGGATGGACTGGCACGAACAGGGTGAAACCGTTTTTTAAAAAAGGAGCGTTGTATACATTTGGACCAAGGGGACTCAAGTAATGTGGAGGATTTGGACATATTGGAGACTAATGTGAAATCAAAACTGATAAGAAGGGTGGGGTGACATCATATCACCCCAGTTAAGGGTGTAAAAAGCGATGTCTTTGCATTTGGGGTCTCCCGAGACCACTTGCCACTTGATGCTCAAATAAAGACCTTTTCTTTTTTTCCCCCACAAGAACTCAAGTTTTTTCCTTTTTGATACTTTTTGAGAACTTTTTCTCGAAATCATTAATTAAAGTAGCTATTAGTGTAAGTGTTCGGTCAGTATTAGAGATCTAATTAGATGTAGGAGGCCTTGAGCTGTAGGGGTAGCTCTTGGTCCTGACAGGTAAACGCTGCTCCTCCAACTTCACCTGATTCAACCCTTGTGTGCTTAGATGACGTGCGGACTCGTGGTGCCGTTTGAATGGACTGAGCAAGGTCTGTTAGCTCATGAGGACACCGATGTCACTGTTACATCAGAGCGTGTGAATGATCACAGGCCAACATGGGGCACGGAGGTGAATAACAACACAGAATCACCACATACACACACCCTTCCCCCTCCACCACTCGCCCACACCGAGCGGCCGGGGACACGAACCCTGCTGCTTCCTTCCTCTCCCTCCAGGCTCTCTTGGCGTAGTCCGCAGAGATGAGGAAGTGAGAAGGAGGCACGTTCTCTCCGACAGTCATCAGTGTCACTGGCACTTCCACAGCTCAGGCCTTCTCCAAGTGTGGCGCGGACCTCCAGTGACTGTGATTACAGGGGCGTGTGTTTAAGAATAGCCGCAGATTGACGCGCCTGCTCGCTGAGATGATTTCATTGTGCGATAAAGTCGAAAAGCTCTTTCATGCCTCGCCAAGAGCAACACAATATGCGAGCCATCTGGAGCGGAGCAATTATCATTTCGCCAACTCCGAGCTTTCGCTCCAGTGAAAAAGATCTGCCCAGAAAAAAAAAGAGTAAGAGAGGACGACACACGATCTCCTGATACTTATTTCTGGCTGGATTAGTCAGTAACAGCGCAGCAGAACGCGGAGCAGCGACAGACGCGGTGAAGGCGAAATGGCAAAAGCTGAAGAGATGAAATGTCAAGGGCGTTTTGGGAACGCGGCGTCCAGAGCCAAAACGGAGGCTGGCGCTTCTTTTCAAGGCTTGCTTTTGAAATGCTGTTGTTAGTGATGCGGCCAGACAGCGTATCAGAGAGCCGGCCTGCACTAAGAGGCTGAACTCAGCTGTGTGTGAGAGCAGCGTTGGGTGCGTTCAGCACAGACGGCTTTAAAAGCTCCGCCATTGATTCCTTTCAACATGGATGAAACCCTCCCTCCACCACCCCCCCCAACCCCCCGACTCACCACCACCTCCCCCCGCTCATCACCCCCCACTCATCTGTGGAGAGCAACTGCAAGTCTCTGCTCCGATGCACTTACAAATGAAGCCCTTACTTATTTATTTGTTTGTTTGTGTATTCATTTATTTATTTCCTCTTTCCTGTAGTTTCTTGTTTTGACTTTTTATTTTATTTATTAATCTATGCTTGGATGCTTTTTTATTTATTTATTTGTTTTTCCTGTTTTTTTTCTTTTTTGTTTTTTTTCCTAACTGATTAGTTCATTCATTCATCCATGCATGCTTATTTATTTATTTACTTATTTGCTTGTTTCCTCCTTCCCTCGTATATACACCGATCAGGCATAACATTATGACCACCTCCTTGTTTCTATGCTCATTGTCCATTTTATCAGCTCCACTTACTACATAGGTGCACTTTGTAGTTCTACAATTACAGACTGTAGTCCATCTGTTTCTCTGCATACTTTGTTAGCCCCCTTTTACAGTGGACAGTGAGTGGACACAGTGTTTAAAAACTCCAGCAGCACTGCTGTGTCTGATCCACTTGTACCAGCACAACACACACTAATACACCACCACCACGTCAGCGTTACTGCAGTGCTGAGAATGATCCACCACCCAAATAGTACCTGCTCTGTGAGGGTCCATGGGGGTCCTGACCACTGAAGAACAGGGTAAAAGGGGGCTAACAAAGTATGCAGAGAAACAGATGGACTACAGTCTGTAACTGTAGAACTACAAAGTGCACCTATATAGTAAGTGGAGCTGATAAAATGGACAATGAGCGTAGAAACAAGGTCATAATGTTATGCCTGATTAGTGTATGTATATATATATATATATTACAAATCTGTGTTAATCGTATTGTGATTTATCAGTCTGTCATCAGCTGCAGATGAAAGTACAGAGCAGTGCTGACTGAGGGAGACGAACACTGTGAGCTGCAGTGATGCTTCATTTTTAGTGCTGAACTTTCTTTACAAGCATTACAGAAAACAGTGGGCTGATGGTCGTGTGACAGTACAGTAAAGCTTTAGGGCCGAGTCTCTCTCTAACGCA